CAAAGTGCTACAGAAACCAAAACAAAAAGAAAACAATAAGGGCAACAACACATAAAATCAGCAACAAAGTATAAATGCACACAGAGGAAATGAAAACAGAGGTACTGTTGCTGATACCAACACTTTGGTATTTATGTATTAATTGTACGCAGCCTGCATGTCATACCGGATAGGGGGGTTTGGCACACCCGGATTTAGCCTGTGTTAGTTCTCAGCATTCCATGTTGCCTGATTTTTAGGATTCCTCACATGACTTTCAGAGATAAATCTCACCCCTGCCCCCAACACACTCACTGCCACTAAATTTGCCACGCAGCTGTCAAGACAGCGCTGGATTCCAAAGACAAACCTCTTACATTTCCTTTTAGGAAATATAGGCCATATTGAGCTTAAATTTTTGATTTTTTTCAAACTAGACTGCATTTTATCTAGAAAAAACAACAATCCTTCTCTTCATCCTTCAGTTATAAGGGTGATATGGACAAAACTGATAGTGCTGACTTAGAATGGCACATGAACACTGAAGGTTGAAGTCCATGGGCCAGGTGGGAAAATATGAGCACACAAAATAAGCCCCATAATTAGACTCTTGACTATTCTGCCTTATAAAGACAAAATGCAGCTATTATATATTTAATCAGAAGACCTGAATCAGACTTTCTGATCCGTTTTAATATAATAAAAATATATATTATGGCCCAAAAATTCTGTGAATACATCTTTTTTAGTTTGCAGTAAATGCTGTGATTGTGCGACACTATGCACTAACAATTCAATTCAATTTTATTTGTATAGTGCCAAATCATAACAGAAATCATCTTGAGACACTTTTCAAATAGAACAGGTCTAGACTGAACTCCTTATAACATATAACCAACAATTCCCACCATGAGCAAGCACTTGGCGACAGTGGCAAGGAAAAACTGCCTTTTAACATGTAAAAACCTTGAGCAGACCATGACCGGTTGGGGTTAGAGAAAGAGAGGGGGGTAGAGGGGGGTGGCTTCATAATGAAGAAAAAAGCCCCCAGCCAAACTAATGCAAAAGCTAATTAGCTTAGCAGATCTTAGTAGCAGCCATCATAGCTTTTGATTCTAGTATAATTAGCAAAACAGAGATACATTTAATTCAGCTCTGCACTATAAATAATTCAAATAAAGCTAAATTCCTTAAACTTAAATTAAAATGAACAAGAAAGCCAAAAGAACACACGTTGTTGGTATACTTACATTCCTCAAAGCCTTTCCGCTCACAATAATGAGCTGTGTTGTATAAGCAGTTTTTAGTTCTAGTGTAGGTTACACAATGATTTTTGGGGTTAAAATAATCACCTTAAAAAGGCATGAGATGAAGGCATCACCACCTTTCTTTCTGTTATGCAGTTTGCCAGCCAGCCTGAAATTAAACTCTTGTTTTTCTCAACTACTGCTTTTTAGGTCAGAATTAATCACAAACTGTCCAGCTGCCCAAAGAAAAGAAAAAAAAGTAGCTTTATTGGGCAGCCCCCAGATGTAACCACGTTTACACTAATGTGATGCAAAGTGCTGCTGATCACAGCATAAGAGCACAGAACAACCCTTCCCTGAATAACAGAGCTTAAATAAAGATAATCAGTCACGACTCACTTGAGAAAACGGTGCAAGCTTGTAATAAAATCCACTTTTATAATCATCCAGAAAAGGGTCAGACCACAATGTATTCACACTCTAAGTGTTGTGAGATGGAACTATGATTCACACCAGCGGCAGGGACAATGTACAGCAGACTTGGTGAGCAGAAAATTAGATCCGATGTTGTTCTGACCAGCACAGGAGTTTAAAGTGCTGACCAAAAAGGGACATTACATTTACTGGGAACACAGTGTCTTTTTCGGAGCAGGACGACCCCCCCATCCTGCAAATTATTGAGGTGGACAGTCTTTAAGTCTGGTTTCACAGCTTGGCAAGCTAGCATCATCTTTAAATTGTCACAATGATCTCTGAAGTACTTGCTGTCCCCTGCAACTGCTCTTTCCAAGTATAGTTAAAATAACATTGACTGATTCTGCAAAAATGGCATCTATGCTTAAAAATTTATTTGATACTGTAGGATTTATATTTAAATATATTTTAAACTGCAAAAACTTTTCAGACACTTTTTTTTACTATTTTCTATGTATTACTAGAACTAAGCATTGACACTACTGCACAACTATGCATTATTATGCTGAGGTATGATAAGGTTAGACAACTACAAGGTTAGGATTGTGGCTATGGTTAATAAAAACATGAATGTTCAAGCCTTCATGCAGGTTCCTTGAAAACAAAGTTTATGTTTACATCTAATGTTTCTAACCAAACACACTGTGTCCTTGACATCTAACACCTGTTTAACGCATTTGTTTCTTTCTAAAACATTTACAAAGCTGATTTTTTTAAAATATCTGGAATGGAGATTTGTTTGTACTGTGTATGTTTGTGTTCATGCACAATTAGGGATGGGACCATGTACCATATTATTGTGTATGATGATTATAAAAACACTCAGATAAATGGATTGTGGTAAATTACCATTATTGTGATAATCCTGTAAATATCCTGCACAGTAGCTCTCCGCATTACAGTCCTAATACTCATTTCGTGATTTATTTAAAACAAGTGGACGAGATGGGGATCTGTACATTCTTTTCCGAGTCAATTATAACCAGTATCCTAAACCTGTCACCGTGGCTGAAGGATCGGCTTTCCCGGCTTGAAACCGGATGTGTGGAAATAGTATCGATTCCAAAATACAGAACAGGGAGATAAGGTCCTGTCTGTAATACAATAAATAAATGTGTTTCTTAACTAAATGTAAGATAAAGTGATTCCAGTATGCTTTAGTGCCATTTTAACTGTATGAAGTATATTTTCATGATTATCGTGATAATATTGTGTATTGCAATTATTCTGGCCAAGACAATTGTCACATGAAATTTTCACATCATCCCATGCCTGTGCACAATACAAACAAAAGTGAGTGAAAGAGTGAAACAGATTGTGACTGTAAAAAAGGGTTTGGGCTGTGCGTGTGAGTTCTGACATCTGGACTGAGAAAATAAAGGGATTGCATGGTAACAAACCTCTCTCTGTTATTGGCAAAGAACATTGTACAAAACATTCAGGCAACAGCTTAACGTCTTTTCAACATTTCTGGTGACAGGTCACATTAATTCAGTGAGTAACATGACAGGCCAAAATGAAAATAGTCTGATTTAAGTTATACTAGGGCTGCACAATTAATGGAAATATTATTGAAATCGCAATATGGTCAAGTGCAACATGCAAGAGGTGAAGTGTTTTGATGTATATAAAATGTGACAAAACAGCATTATAATGAAGTACTGTAATCTTGTAATGTCACAAATTAAACATTTTTAGGATTTTAATCATTTTTAGTGAAAATAATTGGAATTTTAGTTCAAATAAAATTTGTAATTCAAAAATGATCATACCATACTAATGGTGAATAATATCTCAATATTAAAAAATAAATAAAATGATGTTTTTACCATATGTAGCCCTAAGCTTTACTACTTATACTGTACAGTCCTGAGCGGTAAGAGTGTCTCATCTGCTCTGTAAATATTTATTTTTATAATGCATACTGAGCATCGTTGGCACAAAAATTTCTTCCATTCCATCTTTTCTCATTTTTGGGTTGTATTCTGAGTGTGTAATAAGCAACTGTGTCTTTCAGGCAAACATCAGGTTGTTGGTATCAGCAGATATTCAATATTAAAGGACTGGGATGGCCAAGAAAACTTGATTAGGACATACTAGTAGTTCCACAGGGGACTTTTAATTGCTATAATTCTGTTACATAGGTGAAGTCTGGTCTCCTGTATGGCAGTCAGAACATTGGCACTTCACATCATTAG